AACATGCGCACAGGAAGAATCTGAAGACTTGGGTGCAGCCCCCCCCCCCGCCGCCTCCCAGAGACCACGCGCCTACCTGGGTCCTCACAGAGCCACATAACTCATGACGAGGACACACTTCAGGGTTGACGACTGGCCCAAGACCACCCTGCTCCGTAAGGAGAACATGCAAGACGAAGACCCTTCCGTGTAGCTCTGGGTCTTGGGGGTCTCACTTTGCCTCATCTGGAAGCATGAAGCAGAGATTAGAGGGCGTGCAACTCACCTGCCACACCGGCACGTCCACACAGGGGCGTGTCTTCCACTCTGTTTCCCTTCCCATCAGCCCTTGCTCAGGTTTCCCCGCAAAATCACCATCTCTAGGAAACACCTGAAACTTAACCCAGTTTCCTCAGGTTAAAATGTCATGGTGACGGCCAGGTTCTGCTGAAAATCCCTGCTCAGTACCGGAGTCAGTAAGACGAGGAGAGTGTGAGCAGAATGATCAGAATTTGCAGTCAGAAAATCTCTGTGCGAGTCCTGTTGTGGGGCCCAGGGCCAAGCTCAGCCCTCTGAGCCCATATCCCCACTGCTGAGGGTGGTAGTGAGGTTCGATCGAGGAAGCACGCTGGGAAGGGCCTAGCGCTGAGCACAGCGCCTCTGGGTCGTTTAACGAGCCTGTTCGCCACACCTCAACCCAACACCACGTGGAGAGGGCCACGCTGCACGTGGCCTGGGGCTTTGTGAGCAGAGTGACAGCGGGTGGGCTGGCATGGGCTGAGGCTGTGCAGGCTGGGAAGACGGAGGTGCCGGTTGTCAGCTTAAGACTAAATGGTTTCTGCTTTTTCACTTTGCAAGCCTTTGCAGTTTCTCTTGGTGGTTATCTATTTATACAACTCTATTTATAGTTTATGATCCACTTCCTCTGAGCAGGCTTCATAAACGTTTCGGTTCTTAGACTCTTGGTGGTTGGCCTAACCTGGGGGAACATCTCTGGGGATCAATGATCTCCCATGCCATAGCCCTAAAGAGAAACCCGTGGTCCCGATGCTGGCCCATGAGATGCGTGTGGACGTCTTTTGGTGGCCTCTGTCTTTTCACCTGCCCCTTCTATCACTGGCTGTAATGTGTGCTTGATGCCTGGAGCTCAGCAGCCCTGTCGAAACCAAGAGGCCCCAACAAGTATCAGGAGAACTGTCACTCTGGGGATGGCAGAGGCCTGGCTGTACTCCATCGCCCCCTGGATCCACCGTAGTCTGCCACAGCTCTGGCCCGAGATGCCGGCCTTCTGGACTACGTGAGGGGCTGCCTTGTCCTCTGGCTCCCGCCAGGCTCTGTCAAAGAGGAAGTTGGAGGCACCAGCTGCCGAGGAAGGGAGGAAGGAGGCGACGCCCGGCCTCCGGCTCCTGCCTTGCTGTCGGTCAGCTGTCCCTCCTCGGGAAGCCCCGCTCCTTTCCTGCGCCCTCCACTCCTGAACTGCAGCCCGGCCTCCACGACTCCCTCTCGACGCTGGTTCCTGCGATGCTCTCCACCCTGTCGGTTTCCCTCCCCCCTTCGCCCTCCCGCTCTGGTCTAATGGTCCTGAACTGCCCACTCCATGTGCTGTCCTTTCCCTGCTGGTCCCCTGAGAGCATGGCCCTGGCAGCGTTGAGAGCAGCCAGGCCTCCTGGTGGATGAAAAGCTGACCCCTGCCCAGAAGGCCCCTACGCTGGCTCGCCGACCGACTAAGAGGGGTTCTGTCCTCAAGGGCACAGCCTCCAGGGCAGTGGAGACAGAGACAGCAGTGGAGATGCTGTGCAGCAGTGTCTGACAGCGACACCACAACACTCTGCAGGTCTGGATGGGCCTAAGCTGCAGAAGGTGTGTGTGCATGTGCAGAGGGCATCGGGGGTGGTCAGGCGGGGAGCAGGAAGGGGTGGTCTGGAAGGCATGTGGAGGGCACACGCGGCTGGCAGGCGGGCTGGCAGGCGGGCTGGCAGCACTGCCCCTCCCTGTCCCGGGCACTGAGCGTGGGCTGTGCTGGCTCCCTGCTGCAGCTGAGCTCCATGACATTGAGTGGCTGCAAACAGCAGAATGGTTTCGGTTTCGTAGTCTTGGGAGCTGGAAACCGAGATCAGGTATGGGCAGGGCAGGAAGCCTCTCAGAGCCTAGGGGAGGGAACAGGTGTGGGAGGAGCCTCTGGTGGCTCCTGGAAGTTCCCGGCAGTCCTTGGCTTGCAGCTGCACTGCTTGGGCCACTCTGGGCACCCTCCCCTCGGCATGGGAACAGTGCCCGTGGGCTTCCGCATGGGCATAGCGCCCCTGCTTCCTTCCTGACAGACTCCGAGTTTGCTGGGCAACCAGCGGCTTCTGGATGCTGTGCACCGACAGCCACACGCCCAGGAAAGAGGAAACCTGCCCACAGTTGGCCTTTCAGGGCTGTGAGAACCGCTGGGGTGCACCTCGAGCTGGTGGAGGCCCTTGCAGTGTGGCCCGTGGAGACAGGCGGCTGGGCTCCGTGGTCGGAGGAGGCCCATCGTGCAGCCTCAGGGGCGTCAGTACCCAGGCGCAGTTCTGGCTGTGCCGCCTGCTGCCGTCAAGGCGGGCTTTGGGGACTCACCGGTGCGGTTACACTCATGCCTGGTGGCGTGCCTGCATGCCGCAGCAGCTAGGATCACGCCTGAGCGGGTGTGCAGATGTGGACGAGCTGCGGCCGCGCCCCCGCCGTGGGGGAGTCTCCAAGCCGGGGAGGGCGGGGCTGCCCCCATCTGGCTGCGCAGAGCTGCAGGCGCAGGACCGCCTGGCCCCTAAATCCCCGCTCAGGGATGTCCTGAGCTTCAGGGCCAGTCTTTCCGCCCAGGCTGGGATCGCAGTTCCTTTCAAGCAGGGCAGGCAGAGCAGTCGTCGGGGATGAACCAGTCCATGGCTTTTCATGAAACAAAAGCCCAACTGCAGCCTTTCTCTAAACAAAATCACAACGCAAAATCCACTGGAGTTTTCTCTTGTGTTGCAATCAGCAGTGAAAACTGGGACTTGGTCCATTGTAGCTTCTGCCAAAACAAGAGGCAAGTGTGTAACTTCCTCTAATGTCAGTGCAATGAAAAGACCAAGATGGGTTTAAGGGAGTAGGAGGGTCTTTGGTTTCTCTTCGAGTCTCTTTACAGGCAGGCCTCGGTCTTACAATTGCCTCAGTTGTCTGATCTGTAAAGGCCCCTGGCCTGGTGTGGACACACACGCCATGTCCGGTTAGGGTCATGCCTGGCACAGAGCAAAGTCTACACAGGCTGGCAGCCGTCAGCAACGAGGAGTGTAGGCTGAAATGTGCATGGAAAGCCGTCGAGAGAGCAAGCTGCTGCAGACGCGGCTCAGTGAGAACCTCGGGTAGTGACGCTGTCCTGTAACGCACATCAGTCAGGGTCCTCTGTTGCAAGCAGCAGGAACCGGCTCCAGCTGGCTTCAGCCTGAGAGAGCTTTGTTCAAAGCTGTGGGTAGCACGCAGGGTTGATGGGGCACTGGCTGGGATGTGAGTCAGGAACACAGCGGCCAGGCAGCTGGGGTGCCTGAGCCCCAGCACAGTGTGCCTCTGTCCAGGGCCTGACGCTCCACGTGCTGCCAGCGCACAGCCCTGCAGCCGGGAGGAGGCGCCGCCTGAAGGAGCCTGGATGCCACCTTTTGTGGCACTGGCTTCCACCCAGAGCCTGCCACATGTGGCTCCTGGCTGAGCCCTGAGCCTGTGCCCGGCTGCCAGGACTGTGGGAACCACGCTTCCCCAAGACTCGCTCGCCAGACGAGCACAGGCGGTGCAGGGGCTGGGGGCTGCACACCAAGTTTCGCTGCTACATAGTTTGGTCTCTAGCTCCCGTTTGCTTTTACATATTTATTGAGCAACAGAGAGAACGGCGCACTTCTGACAGGACTCACCACACCCTGCGCCCCACAGCCAAGAACACAGGACCATGCCCACGGGTGTGCCTGGCATGTTCAGATCGACCAGGATCCAAACCTGGGCCCTGCCACGCGGCTCCAGTGTCGTGCACCGCAGCTGAGCCTGTGCACCTTTTAAGGCAGAAACAAACACAGGAAGACGATAGCTCCCTTGGCCAGCGCACCTTCCCGTGGGCTCGTGTTCTTTTCAGTCTCCTCCTAACTCCAGAGGACGGCAAGGAGCAGCAGGGTGTCTGCCTCTGAGTGGAGGAGGACCGACGCGCTCTGCCCACGGCGGACAGCTGGGCATGCCCGTGACCGACTGCTGATGGGCACTTCTAGCTCCGTCCATGTGCGGGATGAAACACAGGTGGCAGGCTGCACGTGGGATGACAGCAACACGCAGACAGCCCGTGGTCAGCAGCTGGAGCACACCACTGGCCCACCTCACTTCGCTGTAGAAAACCAGCTCAGCACTGCGTTCTGCCTGGTGGAGCCCCAGATAAACGGCCCCCAGGTGCCATCATCTCTCACTCCAGGAAAACTCTGGAGAAAAAAGAGGCTTTTCTGTCATCACGAAGCTTCGATTCTGGCAAACTCAGAGGGAACATCCCACATTGAAGCGATGTGTGTGTTTCTCCACCACTGGCACCGCATAAAGCACGTGCCCGTGAAGCCAGGCATGCGCAGGGCCACCCAGAAGGGGCCGCCCACCTT